ACACACACACACACACACACACACACACACACACACTCCTCTCCCACTCCAACACACAGCACACACATAAATAACACACTACATGCCACATACCACACATCACACACACTATACACACATACAAACTCCTCCCCCACTCCAACACGGCACACAGAAATAACACACATACATGCCACACATCACACACGCCACACAGGCATACCACAGACAAATAACACCCATATATACCACACACAATAGACACACCACACATACACACCACATACACAAACACCACACATACCACACATGTATCACACAAACACACCATACACATACCACAGATATACACCACACACATACCACATATATACACTGCACACAGACACCACACATATATACCATGTGCACACACACACCACACACACTACACACAAACATCACACATACATATCACATACCACACACAACAAACCCACCACACACACGCCACACATACCTAACCACACACAGCACACACTACACAAACACACCACACATATATCCCACACAGAACACATACACTACACCACACACAGCACACATACACACCACACACAAACATTACACATACATACCACACACAACACACACTACATAAACACACCACACATATACACCATACACAAATACCATGCATATGTAACACAACACACAAAAACCACAAACACCCCACATACACAGCCCGCATACATACCACATACAACATACAACATATACCACACACAGACACCATACATGCATACCACACACAAGACACACAACACACATATACACCACACATACATGTCACACACAACACACACTCAACATGCATACACATTCACACACAGAAACAACACACATACATACCATACACAATATACATGCACATGACACACAAACAACATACATGCATATCACATGCAGAAACAACACACATACATACCACACACCACACATACACAAGCAACATATATACATACCACAGACAACACACATCACACAAACACATCACACACACCCATGCCACCCCTACAACACATACATACATTAAACCCCACACCAGGCTTGCAAGATGTGAAGCAAGTCCTGACGTCTCCTCTCAAGTGAGGATTATGACCCAGCCTGAAGTACCCGGGAGACCACAGCAATTTAAAATGCTGCTGGCATGCGGCTAATTTGGTATGTCTTTGAGCTGCCTGGAACTATGCCTGGAATCGCTATGACTGGCAGGTGAAAGGAGAAGAAGTGAGTTTAGGCAGGCCTCGGCTGGGGATGTCAGGCCTCGCTGGAGCCCCTTGGGGCATGTAATGCATTGGGTGCCCTCTTCCATCCCCACATCTCTTGTGAGGTGGGATTTTGCCTCCTTGGGGCACGTTCTTGGTCTAATAATCCTCTCGGTCAGAGAGTTCTTCCTTGTGTCCAGCAGAAGTCTCTGCGTCTGCTCCGTAGCTACTGTCTGTGTCTCATTTGGCCAATTACACTGCACAGTGCTCAGTGGTGCTGCGCACGCGAGTGTCCTTGCATCCTGCACTGGGCGGCTTGCGGTGCCAGGTACAGGCCTGGCGTGTGTATGTTGTGTGTGGCTTCTTCAGTGGAAGAAAAGTTGAAGCTTGTTTCCTTGTTCCAATTAGCAAATGTGCCTGGAGGGAGGAGGCAAAGGTTTCTATGGGGAGCAGCACTGGATGACACACACTGAAGCTGGAAAGTGTCCACTCCAGATCATGCTCACCCAAATGTCCCAGTTGGGTGACTTGGGAAAGTGGGCATCAGGCCACCCTCAGGCCAACCAGTAATTCTTGATGACTGACTTGTTCTTAAACTGTTGCCCTTTAGAATTTCCCGATAGTCTTCTACTTTTTTCTGAGGCCAGGTTTTACGTGAACACGTGTGTGTGAGTGTGTGTGTGTGTGTGTGTGTGAGAGAGAGAGAGAGAGAGAGAGAGAGGGACAGGATTAGAGAGTGAGCCCCCATAGAGGTGTAGATTTGACCCTCTTTTGGAGAACACATGGGAGTTCCCGTGGGCCTGCTGCTGCCGAGGGTGCTTTGGGAATGGGAAGTGAACTGTCCATGCTGGTCCTCACAGCCTTTGCGCGTGGGACTGAAACTGGTACTTTCAGGGTCTATTTGCAGAACTATCCTAACACCTTTGGAAGCCAAGTTGCCAGCCACCCCCAGGCTGTAGTTCCTACTTCCTCCAGCCACGTGGATGAAAAGTCAGCAACTTCCCTTCTGTTCCTGTGACACATGCTCTAGAGGAGCATGACGTCAGCACGGCCCTGCAGATGAGGCCCTGACGCCACATTCCCTCACTGCTTCCTTTCTTCCCTCCTGCAGGTGTTCATTCAATAAGCCTGTCAGATCCTTTCGGGGGTGCAGAAATGGAGAATTGCATTTTATCCGCAGAAATAAAACACGGGGCGAATAATGGCATAAGAAACACAGCTTAAGGACTGTGGGGATTTAGAGGAGGGAGAGATTAGTTGTAGTTAGGAGATGTCAAAGAGGACTTTATGGAAAGAAGGCATTTGAACTGGAGCTTGAAGGATTCTGAGGATAGCAATGTGCAGATGTGTGGTGAATGGAGCAGAGAGTCAGGCTCAATATGCAGAGCAGTGATGTGGGGCCAAGGGGAGGAGATGCTGAACCTCTGGCTGGCAGAAGAGCGTGTACGGTCAAGGCTCCAAGTCATAGCTGAGCACCTTCATGCTTCATCCATGGACTGAGATTTTGGTCTCGTGTCTCACAGCACTGCGTCTGACAGCTTTTCACTGTTATCTTAACACTCATTGAAAAGGCATCATTTGGGGAAACAGCACGTTCCTCTGATGAACAGAGGAGAAGGAATCCTGAGACTAAATGTACAAGTAAGAAAATCGGAATGATTCCGTCTGGTGCAGGGTAGACTAGGTGTCCAGGGAGAACAGGTGGCCCAGCTGAGGCAAGGCCCTGGAGAGCCCTGAAAGTTGTGTCAGCTTGGATTGCATTTGGCATGCAGCAGGGGTCATTGTAAAGTGCACGGCAGGGGAAGGGTGGGATTAGAGCTGGGCTTCAAGTATTTACCTGCAGCGGGAAATTAGAGATCTGGAGAGGCCGATAGGGTTGCAGGAGGATTTCATTTAACGTGATAACAGGCTCAGCGGAATTGCTCCCTAATCTCGAGCCAAGCACAAGGAAAATGGGGTGCCATTGATGCACCTAGTTGGTACAAGATGAGGAAGCCAGGACAAAGAACAGTTAAGTAACTTGTGACATGTTTTGTGATGGACTTTACATTTGAAAAGTAACATTTTAAGAAACACATTCCGCAGTCTTGAGCTGTTTGCTTTGTGACCTTGCAGCTGGTGATCAAGAAACACAGGAACTTTTAGATGCCTGGGAACTTTGCTGAGAATGTGGGAAAGATAGATAAGGCTAAACGGTTTACAAGGAGGCAGTTTAATATTCTGCCTTAGAGCTGGGGAGGTGTTATATTAAACGGCACGCAACATGACAAAATTTACTTTATTATATAACAACGCAAATTGTAAGGTTTTGTTTTACTATTATTGCTATTATTTAGTTCCCTTCTTCAACCAATCAGGCACTGGTTTGTCAGAGAGCAAGAGACAGCATGAGTGCCAGGATGTTCCTGGAATATTTCTGGTGAAAGGTAATGACTGGGGGAGTTGGGGGCAAGGAAATAGGTCACAGAAGCATTTCTGTGGCAGAACCAGCAGTGGCGTTGTGAAGACTGAATTGCTAACTGGTTCAAGCAGACGTTGTCTGGCTTAGGCGTCACTTTCACACTGCAGCCTCCACCCCTGAGACTCCTGGCCAGCACCAGACCAGCACATTCAACGGCCAGGGCAGCTCTGGCACAGAAGCGACCCTTCAGAAAGCCTGCAGGGGTGCTGCCTAACAACAGGCTCCTACGTGGCTCTTGGGGTGCTTTGTCTTAGATGAAAAATCATGAAGCCATTTTCTCTAGGGCTTTGTGCCTTTGATGAGATTCGCCCGTGTGGAGTGCAGGTCTGTGGCCTGATGAGCACAGGCATGTCAGCTAGGAAAATGTTTACCTATGTGCAATGTCACTGCATCCTCACAATAACCCCATGGTCCCTTGGTATATGTAGGGGGCTGGTTTCAGGACCCCCAAGCGTGCTATAATTTGAGCACACTCAAATTAGCCCCCAAAGAGCCCACATTATAGGAAAAGTCTGTCCTCCACATACACGGGTTTTGTATCCAGAGAATACCGGTTTTCTTTTTTTTCTTTTTTTGAGGCAGAGTCTCGCTGTGTCGCTGAGGCTAGAGTGCAGTGGTACAATCTCGGCTCACTGCAACCTCCGCCTCCTGGGTTCAAGCAATTTTCCTGTCTCAGCCTCCCAAGTAGCTGGGATTACAGGCACCTGCCACTATACCTAGCTAATTTTTGTACTTTTAGTAGAGAGAGGGTTTCGCCATGTTGAGCAGGCTGGTCTAGAACTCCTGACCTCAAGTGATCCACCTGGCTCAGCCTTCCAAAGTGCTGGGATTACAGTGGGCCACTGTACCAGCCAAATATTAGATTTTTAACCTGCCTTTGGTTGAAAAA